TTTCTGTTCCCCTTGAAATTTGACATAACGAGAATCTACGCATTTTTATACTGCAACTTTGAGTACAATGTTGAATTATTCTTAACGCAATAATAGATATCTGCCCTTTAATTGTAATTAAATAATCTACCAGCTTTTACCAAATATGTAATTTTACTGTATAATGTCATTGGTATACATTTTCGTTCTATACATATATAAATGCATACAAAATAATAAATTAAAATGACTTAATAAAAAAAGGTAGTGTTTAAAATATTTAAATTTAATAAATGAATAAACAGAGACAAAAGAAAATCATAAATTTTTCTGAAAATAAAATTTTTAACAAGTATTCATTTGTATAGAATATAGATAATTAATCTGAATACTTTTTTTAAATTGGTATATAAGTATTTATTCTAAATATGTTTCGTAAGACTTTTATCAACGTCTACAAAGGAGTGTCCTATATTGGGACCATTATAATTAAATATCCCTTTCTAACTGATCTAAATTTTAATATTTCAAGTTAAAGCATAATATTTTAAATATTGTAGGGATAATAAAGCTATAAATAGATCATTTTTCAAAATCCTAAATTAACTGTTTTCTAAAATCATTTTTTTTTTTGTTTAAGGAAAACCAAAAAATTGTCAAAGGTACAGTATGTAATGTACCTAGGAATTTACATCGAGATAAACATAAAAAAAAATCAAATATACTTATTTAAAAATACTAAATTGACCAAGCAATTCAGCTTATATGGATAATTTATAATTTTAGGAACCTATATGAAAAAAATATTGTTCAAACCTTTAAAACTTAGTAATTAATGATTATGTCCAAGGTACCAAAAGCTCATGACTCAGAGTTTTATTGTTTCAAAGTCAATATATTTTAATGTACTGGAACTAGAGACTAATTTTTTCCTTCAATTTTTTGCCTATTATGAAGAAGAAATAAATATGGAATCAAGGTGGCAAGGTATAACACTTCATGTTAATAAATTGGCATTARATATCATGCAAAATTATTTAAAATGTAAATTATTCATTAATTTTATTAGTATGAAGGCCTATGATTAGTGCTTCAAGAATCTTATAAAACATCCAAGTGTGTGTGAACAAAAATAGTTTTATAACCACCAAACTATACACTAACATTATTTAATGTGATTATTGGTTATAGAATATGAACAATGACTTAATATAAATACAAACCTGTAGGCTTCTAGGTCCCTGCAAGGAATGTTTGTTTGAAGGTGTCTGTATAGCTATCATTGTGTCAGCAAACATTCTTGCCCGCAAATTAAGCTCTTTAATTCTTTGCTGGACAGTCATGGGTCGTAAAAACACACGAGTGGTTTCTGAAGTGTCCAAGTTTCCAAGTAAAACATCGGTCTGTGTTGTCTGGGACAGACGTCGAAAAAACAGGCGTTGATCCTCATGATGGCATCCTACAAGAGAAATATTAGTGGGTTATAAAATGGAAATTGGTAGATAAGTGAGAAGACTGTCTCCGCCGTTTGTGAATTTGTCCAGGTTAACGTGATTGGGCATCAACTTACCATCGTCGTTTTTCCGGCCCAAACGTCGTCCAAACGCGTTCTTTGCAACCGAGTAACCGACATACGCAAAACCAGCAAAAATAGCCGAACACACAGCCACTTTGTTAACCGTGTGGTCGTTGGCAGACGTTGGATTTAAAGCCATTTTTCAATCAAATTAATACCATGTACAAACACTGGCAGGGTTCACGCACAACACTCCAACAGGTTAATCCCGCCGTCGTATTATACCAATTGTAAACGAAGGCTGTCAAACGCGATTACTAAACTACTACAGTGCACTCGACAGACACATGTCTGCGTAGTTGGGCCAACGTAACGAAGAGACGGGATGTACTGACGTCGGAAGGTTTTCAGTCAAGTCGAGGAGTTACCAGAAGAGCAGTCCGCCCATCATATTAACGCTCTTCACTCTTCAGATGATGATAATCTTTCATAGTTCGCACGAACTACGGACACCGAAACGAACGTCATGTGTGGATGTGTGATACTGAAAATAAAAAACGAAAATCATTACTGTTATCAATGTTTCGGCCAATTCGTATTKTCGGTTTATTGTCGCCACTCGCTAGTCACTACGGGCCTACGGCAATRGTATATTCCTGAATCGCATTTCGTGTTCGTCGAAATACAAAATAGGTAAATTAAATTAATTTTTATTTCAGTATATTCGATATCATTATATTTGTAATTTATATCAAAAAGCACGCAGTTTTGGCTGATTTTTATCTTTATTTTTTTTATGTACTATCACGGTAACGGTATAATATAACAAAAAATGCTGAAAAAAAATCATTTCAATATTTAATATTATTGAACTACCTATTTTATTATTATAATCTCAATAATTTCATATACAATAAATTTATTCGAGTTACATACAGAACACAAAGATCGATGAGAATTCTTTAATTTACGGGTTTATTAACACTCATGCAAAATGAGTTATATTCAGATGATTTTTTTTTTTTGTTAAACCTAGAAAAACTTATAAGGAATCTTCTATTTAATTTGCATATTATGCCTATACTCGTATATGTCTAGGGTGTCTATTGATTCGATTCGATTTTATTGAAAATATTCTTTTACAAATTATTATCGAATACTTTATTTTTTAATTTCATATATAATCTATTAGWAGTAGCAAAAGTAAAAGCAAAAAAAAAAAACGTAAAAAATATAGYTATCATTGTATCAAGGTATCCTCTCTGTTATACCTACAGCAGTAAGTTTCGAGTTCGAGTGTATCGTATTCCTAATGTGAGTGTCCGTGCGACCTCACTACACCTTAATACCTGCTAAAAAACATCACCACCGTGGCAATCTATCTGATAAAGACTGTACCTACCTATTCCAGTGGTGGACAAACGGTTGGTGTRGGGGGGAATGGAATAGACCTCTTCCCCAAACTTTTTTTTTCAATATTTATAATTATTTGTGTTATACCAATGTATATATTCTATAATGCATTAATTTATTTTCTATAAACATCAGTTATCAATTATGGTAAATTTCTTCAGAATTTGTTTACAGGACTGTATTCTTAAAAACTGCCCGGGTGAGGCTTCCATAAATGTGCCGCAAAATGTCTTAATTATTAATAAAAGCTTATGTAAAATGTTGATGATAAATACTAAACATTTTACTCTCGGACATGGTCTTTTTTTTTATTTCAAAGTTGAAAAGAAAAAATTAAATGTTGATTTCTCATATTTCTGTATTCATCTGTTAAATGAGTACCTATCTATCTTATTGATATTTTAAATCGTGAAATGCACCAACTAATTTTTCTAGGGAAATAAATTCCAAACTAAAAAAACATTTCCAACCATTTATCTCTATTCCCTAGCCCTAGTTCATTATTGTTGTCCATGTATGATACTCTGAGGGAAGGTTCACCAACAATCTACAAACAAATTATTATATTTTATTTTA